ATTGATTATTTAAATTGTAAAAATCGATTATTATGAATTAATGGATTATATAAAATTATATAAATCAATTTTTATAAATTAATTGATTATTTTAAATTATTTTCCTCAATTCCAGATGAAAATGTTCCTAAAAATATACTCTAAAATCCTATTTTTGATACCAATTAATTATGGACATTATAAATATGATTTTGTACAATAAAAATGATGTTTGTGACATATAAACATTATGTGATGCATGACGGTAAGTTCGGGTGTTAACACTCGAGACTAGGCCGCTATTTGTTATTATGCATTATGACGATTGTTTGATTATTGATTATAATGAATTAATGATGATGAACGTTTTGAATGATGATCATGAATTGTTAATGTGAAAATAATGAATTAATGAATCGTATTGTTAAGGATATCTAGAGTAACTCTAAGATATACCCACTTGTATATTGATGATGATTATTAAGGATATCTAGAAGAACTCTAAGATATACCTACTTGACCAATTCATATTTCGGGTTAAAACGTACGTACGGGATCCAGACCGGATATCACCCACTCAACAAATCATTGTTCGGTTGGTACGTAATCCACATGACTCATAGGGTGGATTATCGATTCTTGTGTTATGCATTAAACTATTTATAGTTTAAGGGCCTGGTTAGAATTGCTGCCTTAAAGTAGGAATAGCTAAGAGCTGAATATAAAATGATGTGGCCTTAGATTAAGAATAATTTAAGAGCATTATTGATATATATTGAATATCAAATGACTTGGAATAAAATATTGAAAATATTTTGAATGTTTGAACCATATATTGTGTGCATGATATCAAATGGTTGATTATGAATTGAGATTCAATTTATGTGGATGTTTGACGTTTTAGATATGCTTACTCAGCTTCACCGCTAAGCGTGTAGTATGTTTTATTTGCTACACGCAGGTAAACAGAAAGATTAATGTGATCCTGGCGGCAGATGGGGCGAGATTGTCAGGATGGATGTGATAAGTTTTGAAATAATTTATGATATGTCAATATTAAATTCGCTTCCGCAATATTGTTAAATACTCCGTACTGTATATGTTATGAAAAATATTATTAGGATTAATAAAGTGTGTTTAAAAAGTTTTAAATTTTACGATTACCAAGTTAAATACTTTAGTCCGAATGGGGCTGCAGACCTGGACGGATTAGGGTGTTACAAAAGGGGGACGAGTTCCTCAAGGAAAGGCGCCTCGCCTCGGCTCCGGGCGTGATCGTGCATCGTCCCACTCCTAAGGATTCTGTCTTCGACGCTCCTCCGGGCTTCTTTGCCATTCATCTCAAGTCCCTCGAGTACGGATTCCGCTTCCCCCTAAACCAGTTGGTCGTCGATTTCTTTCTTCACTTCAACCTCCTCCCGTGCCAAGTGGTCCCAAAGTCGCATCGCTACTTGGCCGGGTTCCTCGTCCGATGTCAACAAACCGGGGTCCACCCCGATTTGGCCCGCTTCTTGCTCCTCTTCCGATTGGCGAAGTCTTCTGGCTGTGCGGACTCAGACTCGAGCTCGTACCCCGCCATCTTCCAGAAGCAACAAAAGCTTTTCAAAGTTGGCTCGTTAGTGACTACGAGGCGTTAGCTGCGCTCGGCTTCTTCTTCCTATCCCCGGAGGACATCCAACGGAGCATCGAGGAAGGCCCCTCAGGTCAATGCAATCTCTTCTAGTCGGCCGTCCGTAGGCTACGGCCATTACGAACTTCCCAACGTCTCTTTTTCATTACAAAGTGCTTTCCTCACCGCTGGTTGTTTATGCAGGGGAAATCATGCTCTCGAAATCATGCTCATGCTCCAGGCTTGACCTACCTCGGGCACCCGCCCTCCTACTCCGCCTGTCAAGTCGGCCTCTGATGCGGCTCAGAAGAAGAAGAAGAGGAAAGAGGCGGCATCGGCCTTAGGCAATCCGAAGGGGCTTGAGTCCCCTCTCCTGAGGGATTTTGGGCATGCTTCCCGGGTGAAGGTGGCCTTCCCTCCTCTGCCTTCCTTCATAGACGGGGACTATGAGTCAAAACCCTCCTACAGAGCTTCACCCCTCCTCGAGACCGCAAAAAGATCCGCGATCTTGAAAACGAGGCCCTGACTTCGACCTCCTTGCGGGAGCTGGGTTCGGTAAGCCTCCTTTGCACTGCCCCTTGAATACGTCACCTAGTATGTGGCTCTCACCCCCTATTTTTCTGCAGGCAGCGATGCGCTTTGTCGAGGTGAGCTAGCGGTTGCGGCTCAGTGAGGAGGATCGGGCCAAGGCCCATGCAGAGGTCGCCGTCCTTCACGAGGAGCTGACGGCTGCCAAGGAGCAGGCTCGCCAAGCCGTGGAGGAGGTTGCCTGCAAGGCCCACCAAGAGGGCCGCGATCGGGCCGTGGGCGAGTTCCTGGCATCGCCCGCCTTCCAGGAGGAGGCCTTTGCCCGTATGCAGGATCTGCTCAAGTCCTGGGGGAAGACTCTCGAGGGAATGGCATTCGTTCGCTCCGAAGGGACCTCTTGCTACAACCTCGGTGTGTACTGAGTGCAGTAGGTGTTGACGGAGAGGTTCATAACGGGGGAGGACTTCCCCGAGCCCTGCGACAACCCCATCGAGTTCGACCCGTCGATGTACTATCCGGGGAGTGGGAGAAAGGTTGACGACCTAGGATGAAATTGACGCCTCCACCCATGACTGTTATTTCAGATGTAATGTTACCATTGTAACTTGTCATTGTGGATTTCATCTCCAATTGTTTTGTACTGATTTGCTTTCCATTAATGTTTTCGCACTTTCGTAGACTTGTATGCTTGTACCTCCCCCGTCTCATCTCGGCTCGGCACTGCCGAGGAGAGGTTGCCTTGGGACTTGGTCCCTTTTTGCCAACTCGCTAATCGAGGCAACCTTGGGACTTGGTGCCTTTTACTGGCCACCGGTTTGACCAGTCAGGCGCTGCCATGTGTTCCCCTCCCCTTTGGCACACTGCCTATATAAAGGGGGGGGGGGTCCTCATAGTGTCCTTGCACAAATCATTTCAAGTTCCTCACTCTTGCTATGTCTTATTCTGCTCTAACTCCTCCTGACTCAAGCGAGATAAGGGAAGAGACGCTCTCCCTTAGCAGCTTTTAGACAAATGTTCAACTCTAGAGGGGGGGGGTGAATAGAGTTGTTTTCAAGAATGTGCGTTTTTTGCGTGTGTGAAATAATAAAATCGCAGGAATAAATAAAGAGAGTATGGGAAAGAGGAACACCGAGATTTATACTGGTTCACCACCTCGTGGCTAGTCTAGTCCTCCGAGAGACTCTCTCGAAAGTCCTACTAATCTTCAAGCTTCAACGGGTGCTTGAAAAACCGGTACAACTTGAGAACTTGAATCACACAAGCCTCACTTTCTTACAACAACAAGACTTGAGTCACACAAGTCTTAACAACAACAAGACTTGAATCACACTAGTCGAAGATGAAGCAAGGAATGAATATAGCTCAAAGGGTATATTAGAGTGCAAGAGTAGTATTTTGAAATGATGGAGAATGAGGGATTAAATAGGCTAAGGGTAAAAGATCCGTAGGAGCCACTGAAAAGTACTAAGAATAGGCACCAGACAGAATTAATTGATTAAATTAGGGACTTTAATCGATTAAAGTGTACATTAGCGAAAAGGCATGTATGCAAAGGTGGAATTAATCGATTAAAAAAGAGAGAAAAATCGATTAGGTGGCTCTGCCCTAAGAAATCGATTCATGGAAGAAAATCAATCGATTAATGGGCAAACCTGGGAACCAACCAGGAGTCTATTAATCGATTAAATGAAGACAGATAATCGATTATTGAGGAAACAATGCGCAACACAGAGGGCCCAAGGCCAGTTGCGATGAGGAATGAATTGGCCTATTCTCGTTGTTTGAGACAACGGGAATATCAACGGACGCTCCTCAAAAAAATAATATCTCCTATTCAATGAATTTGAATAGGGGAGAAAAAGTGAGTCCAAAAATTATTTTGTGTGTCAACTGATGTACAAGAAAATTTTTAAAGTATATATCTTTCTTACCACAAAAAAGAAATTTGTGTAACCTTAAAAAGTATTTTGACACACTATTTTGAAACTGACTCAGTAAAATATTTTTAGAAAGAGAAAAAATAATTTTTCAACTGACTCAGAAAATAATAATTTTTATCTCTCAAAATTAATTTGTTCATGCAAAAATAATTGTCATCCTTACAAAGAAATTCCTAGACTCAACAAAAAATAAAAAGTCTTCGGAGTCTTCACTTCGCTTCGAAAAATCTGCGTAGGGGTGAGCATTGACTTTTATCGCCGTAAATATCTTGATACGCCTCTTTGCTCTTCTCGATACGAAAAATAAATTTTCAATCAGCTTGAATTTAATCATCCTGTTTGTCATTTATCAAAACAAAAAATATTCCAATAATAATATGTTGGACATGAGTTCAAAACCCTTTACTATTTCTTCTGGAATATATATTTTTTTGTTTTGATGAATGACAAACAGGATGATTAAATTCAAGCTGATCGAAAATTTATTTTTTTGTATCGAGAAAAGCAAAGAGGCGTATCAAGATTTTTTGGTGATAAAATCAAACGCTCAACCCTACGCAGTTTTTGAAGTGAAGGAAGATTCTGAAGACCCTTTATTTTTTATTGAGTCTAGGAATTTTTGTAAAGATGACAATAACTTTTGCATAAACAAATTTTTTTTGAGATAAAAATATTATTTTCTGAGTCAGTTGAAAAATATTTTTTCTCTGTCTAAAAAATATTTTACTGAGTCAGTTTCAAAATAGTGTGTCAAAATTTCTTAAAAACATTTTTTTTGGATACACCAATTTTTTTTGTGGTAAGAAAAATATACTTTAAATATTTTTCGTGTACATCGTTTGACACACAATAATTTTTGGACTCTTTTTCTCTCCCCTACTCAAATTCATTGAATAGGAGATGTTATCTTTGAGGAGCATCCGTTGATATTCCCGTTGTCCCAAACAACGAGTTAGAAGCCAAAGGGCTTCCAATCGCACTTGGCTTGGGCCCTTTATGTTTGCACATTATTTCCACTTTAATCGATTAAATTTTCTAAATTAATCGATTAGATCCAGTTCCTTAGCGCTAGATTTCTCAGGCCTTCAGTATTAATCGATTTTTATTATTCATTTAATCGATTAGTTCTCACACCGCAGTCTAATCGATTTTTCCATTAAACTTAATCGATTAAGATTGCATTCTTCGCTGAAGACTATTTCCAATTAATCGATTTTTATTCTTCACCTTAATCGATTAGTTCAGACAGTGCCATCTAATCGATTACTTTCTCCACTTTAATCGATTAATTTTATCTGGTGCATATTCTCATCCGGCTCCAACGGATTTATTTCACTAAGTCTATTTAATCCCCATTCTCCTTCATTCTCAACACACTGCTCTTGCACTCTAATATTCCCTTTGAGCTATATTCATTCATTGCTTGATCTTCCTCATCAAATATTATTTTTTGAGAGTTAGAAATATTTTTCTTTGAGTGCTAAAGAAGTTGTCATCCATAGAGCTTTAATCCTTCAACACTAATTTGCTCAACTGTGTGAGCTTTCATTCTTGTGTTGTAAACTCAATATCATTTGAGTGTTGTTCTTAAGACTTGTGTGACTCAAGTCTTGTTGTTGTAAGAAAGTGAGGCTTGTGTGATTCAAGTTCTCAAGTTGTACCGGTTTTTCAAGCACCCGTTGAAGCTTGAAGATTAGTAGGACTTTTGAGAGAGTCTCTCGGAGGACTGGACTAGCCACGAGGTGGTGAACACATATGAATCTCGGTGTTCTTCTTTCCCTTACTCTCTTTATTTATTCCTGCGATTTTATTATTTCACACACGCGAAAAACACACATTCTTGAAAACAACTCTATTCACCCCCCCCCTCTAGAGTTGCACATTTGTCTAACAATTGGTATCGGAGCAGGAAGTTCTTCGAATACGTTATTTTTCAGGAACTAAAAGATCAAATGACATCAAGAATGTTTAACGCAGGAGTGACCGAGGGACAATCAATCACGAGGCCACCTTTGTTCGATGGAACAAACCACTCGTATTGGAAGGAGAGGATGAGAATCTTTATCCAATCCAACGACTACAAGCTGTGGTTGATTGTGAAGAACGGCTGCGGAGTCCCGATGAAGAAAGTCGGTGAAGTCAACGTCCCGAAAACCGAAGAGGAGTTCACCGACGAAGATTGCAAAAAGATGGAGCTCAACGCAAAGGCAATAAACATGATTTATTGCGGTGTTAATGCGGATGACTACCGCAAAACAAATGTGGGAGAAATTGGAGGTCACCTACGAAGGAACCGCGCAGGTTCGGGAGGCCAAAATTGACCATCTCACCCACGAGTACGAACTCTTCTCAATGAAGGAAAACGAGAAGATTGAGGAAATGTTTGAGAGGTTCTCTAATATCATTAATTCTCTCAATCCTCTCGGGAAGACTTACACCGACCGAGAACTTGTAAGAAAGGTGCTACGAAGCTTATCCCCAAAATGGCGTTCAAAGGTGGACGCAATTGAAGAAGGACGTGACTTCCAAACAACGACCTATGATGCTCTTCGAGGTAACCTCATTACCTACGAAACCACCCAACTCTCAAAGGTGGTTGAAGAGAAGAGCAAGAGGTCTATTGCTCTACCCGCAACAACATCATCCCACAACAACGTTGATGATGAAGATGATGACAGCGACGACACCGACCTCGGACTCTTCGTCCGAAAATTCAAGAAGATGATGCTCAAGAGGGGAGCCAAGAAGAACACTCCACCCAAGTGCTATGGGTGTGGTGAAATTGGACACATCAAACCAATGTGTCCAAAGCTCAAAAACGAGAAGGAAATAGGGCACCGAAGAAGAAACGTGCCTACATTTCTTGGGAGAACGACGGCTCCGGGAGTGAAGACTCGGAAACGGAGGAAGTGGCCAACCTATGTCTCATGGCCATTGAGGATGGTGAAACATCAATAGAGATAAGTGATCAAGAACCTTTTCCCAATGATCCTTTAACTCTTAATGATGTTGTTTGCATTGTAGAAGAACTTGTAGGAATGTTCAAAAAGGATTCCAAAGAAAATAATGAAGTTAAACAAAAAATCCTGATTTTTGAAAAAGATGTAAAAGAACTCAAAAATATAAATGATAAACTTAAACAAGAAATTATCTCTTTTGGAAAAAGGCCACAAGAACCTTCATCTACTTCTTCTACATGCTCTAGTTGTACATCACTAAAAGCTAAGGTTGCTAGTTTAGAGAGCAAATTGGGAAAGTTTAATAATGCTTCAAACACCTTAGATAAAATACTTAAGCAAAGAGTTAGTAATGGTGAAGGACTCGGATATAAGAAAAACCAACCTAGAAAAACAACATTTGTTAAAGCTAGGGGGAATAAAAATGCTAGGACAAATAATCAAATTAGAAGAGCACCTCCTAGCAAACCTAGAACTCATTACACTCAACCATATAGGATGAATAATCCAAACGTTATTTTCCATTATTGTAATAAGATAAGTCACATTGCACCCGTGTGCTTCACCAAAATTAGGCATTTTCAACAAACGCACACACATCGCACATATGCTAACCAAAAAGGACCCAACAATACATGGGTACCTAAACGGTCTCCTTGATATCTTTTTGTAGGTGTGCTTGAAGGCTTCGAGTACCTCTTGGTATCTCGATAGCAGATGCTCCAAGAACATGACCGGAGACGCATCCAAATTTAGGAGTTTAGAGTATTTCAAAGGTGGCAATGTCGTTTTTGGTGACAACAACAAAGGAAGAATCATTGGAATTCGCACCATCGGGAAGGACAATGCTACAACCGTTGAGAACGTTCTTCTTGTTGAGGGCCTCAAGCACAATCTTCTTAGCATTAGCCAATTGTGCGATAGAGGTAACTGTGTCATCTTTGATTCTAGTAAATGCAATGTAGAACGCTTGTGTGACAATAAGACTATTCTTTGTGGTAGTAGAGTAGATAACATTTACATGTTTGATCTTGAAAATTCCCCGTCTATCTTAGCTAAGTGCCTCATTACCAAAGAGGAAGAAACGTGGCTATGGCATCGTCGAATAGCTCACGTTAATATGGACCATCTTTATAAGTTGGTTTCTAAAGACTTAGTAATTGGTGTTCCTAAACTTAAGTTTGAGAAGAGTCTAATTTGTGATGCATGTCAAAAGGGGAAGCAAGTAAGGGCCTCGTTTAAGTCAAAGAACATTGTTTCTATGACTAGGCCATTACAACTTTTGTACATGGACCTTTTTGGACCTTCAAGAACTATGAGTTTAGGAGATAATTACTTTGGCTTTGTTATCGTTGATGACTATTCGAGGTTTACATGGACACTCTTTCTAGCTCATAAGTATGATGCACTTAATGCTTTTAAGAAATTTATCAAATTGGCTCAAAATGAAAAAGATTGTCACATTTCATCCACTAGAAGTGATCATGGGGGAGAATTCGATCAAGATGGCTTTGACGCCTTATGTGACGAATTAGGCATTGAGCATAACTTCTCGGCCCCCCATACACCACAACAAAATGGCGTGGTTGAACGGAAAAATAGGTCTCTTGAAGAGATGACTAGAACTATGCTCAATGAGGCTAACCTTCCTAAATATTTTTGGGCAGATTCCGTGAGTACCGCGTGCTACGTGTTAAACCGAGCCGTCATTAGACCGATACTCAAGAAAACGCCCTACGAACTTTACAAAGGAAGAAAGCCTAACCTTTCCTATTTTCATGTCTTTGGATGTAAAGTTTTTATTCATAATAATGGAAAAGATAACTTGGGAAAATTTGATGCTAAGTCGGATGAAGGAATTTTCTTAGGTTATTCTCTTCGTAGTAAG